ATAAACAGTTTAATTTTAGAAAATTTATGAATGTTCTCCATAATGTCACTGTTTACGTGTACAGTGTACATGTCTGCATCGTCGCATAAACAACAATGATCGATCCAATATACCATTACTGTATTGGAATATACAAGGGGCGGGGCCTACTGGCGGTGAGATTAAAGCGGGGTCCGCTTCACGCATCAGTGCGTAAAGCGGTCCCAGGAAGCGAACACCGGGTTCGCTCTAGCGGACCCAGAGCTGACCCCGAGCGAACGCGGAGCGAACCCAGAGCGCACCCAAAGCGCACCCGGAGCGGTCCCAAAATTTCTGAAAGCGAACCCGAAGCGGACCCCGAGCGAACCCGTGAAGCGAACCCGGGGTCCGCTCTGGGTTCGCTCTGGTGTTAGGTTGTGTCCGGTCGGTACTGTATTGAAATCAGACTAAAACTGTAGGAGGAGTAGCATTTAGAAAGAATTTCACAGAAATTTCTATTTTTAGTAACCACGGCAACACCGTTCAACGAAATCAAAAACCGATACACAGAATTGTGTATCTTAGTGTAGTCTACTTGTGTGCCAAGTTATATTGAAATCAGACTAAAACTGTAGGAGGAGTAGCATTTTGAAAGAATTTCACAGAAATTTCTATTTTTAGTAACCACGGCAACACCGTTCATCGAAATCAAAAACCGATACACAGAATTATGTATCTTAGTGTATTCTGCTTTTGTGCCAAGTTACACTGAAATCAGACTAAAACTGTAGGAGGAGTAGCATTTTGAAAGAATTTCACAGAAATTTCGATTTTTAGTAACCACGGCAACACCGTTCATCGAAATCAAAAACCGATACACAGAATTGTGTATCTTAGTGTAGTCTACTTGTGTGCCAAGTTATATTGAAATCAGACCAAAACTGTAGGAGGAGTAGCATTTTGAAAAATTGTTTACAGACAGACAGACAGACGGATTACTATCGCATAAGCTCTTCTGGTCTCTGACCAGTAGAGCTAAAAAACGATGCCCTGCGTCAGCGGCAGGCGTTGGCACGATAAAGATCCGTCACTGCTCAATGGCCCCGAGTGCCGGGTAAAGGTCAAAATTTGAAGCCTTTCACTGGCATACGGTGACGTCTCTATATGAGTGAAAAATTCTCGAGGGGGAGAAACAATATACAATTAATTAATGTGTAAACTTGGTATTATTAAGAAGATCACAAAAATGTAAAGAAAATGTAATACATGTAGTTACATGCAAAACAAAATATAATTATTTTTTGTGTAGGACGATGCAGGATATAACAAAACCAAATGTATTGAAACAGAATATTTTTGGTCCATTGTGATCAATGCAAGACATCTCTTCTGCTTTATTAAATAGAGAGACAGACCAAAAACAAGGAGACGATGACGGCTAAATCTAATTGTATATTTTTGAAACTCTACCAGACAGACAGACAGAGTGAGAGACAGACTAGGAAAATAACAGTTTGCACCAGCAAGAATAGTCATTAAATTGACATTTGGATAGATTCTCTCTTTTTCAAAACTGTATGTGAACCACTTGTTGTAAGACGAATTTCCAAAGTAGGATTCATTGATTGATATGAATGATTGTTGTTTTACGTTCTATTCGATGATATTTCACTATAAATACGAAAAAAACTACTAGTACTCGTATTCATATTTTTATAAGAAGGCACATGGGTATCTGAAAGAGATATTTTCAAACATTCAATCACACGGATTAAAATAAGTAACAAGATAATTACGGAATTATTATATCCCTAAGGGTAGATTAAATATTTTGAATCATCTTTTGTCCAAATTGCAATAAGGAAATGAAACTCTTTTCCTCAGGCCTCTGGAAACGAGAAATTCCACTTTTATAGACTCCTTCAAAACTATATGAAATCTCAAAGAAAAGAATTAGGGGCGACATGGCTCTACTTGAGCACATTGGCTAAGAAAAAGTAGAATGAAGATTGTTAAAGACTTTTCATTTATACTTCTATGTAAAACTTTGACCGTTCATTGTCGACCTGTCTACCCCCTAGGGGTCATGATTTGAACTTTTACAATTTTGAATCTAAATCAAATATGGATGTTTCCATATAAATATGAACAATCATAGCTTTACCTTTCTTGAGCAAAAAAAGTTTTAAAGATGTTTCCTTGATATTCTTGAGTGAAATTTTGATCTTCCATTATGGTCCTACATTACATCCGGGAGTCAAAATGTGAACAAAATTTAATCTACATCATCCGAGAGACCTTTCATATAAATATGACAATTTTTCACCGATTTGTAATCATCTTTCCTTGGAAAAGGATATGGCCCCTCATCTGAATAAACGTGAATCCCTTTTACATAATATTAATTTGTGCCAAGTTTTGTCAAAACTGGCCCAGTAGAACTCGAGAATATAAAAAAAATGTGAAAAAGTTTACAACAACACCAACGACGGACAAATTTCAGAACCCTCGGCCCATGTTAGCAAACACAGGTACTCCAACCTTTTTAGTGATTATTATTGGAAACAATTGTATTTTGACTATTTTTTTCCCAATAACATGAATGACAGTCAGTTATTTACTTGTGAAAAAAATAACACATATAACATTTTTCTTTTGCAAAGAAACACTGCCCCAAGAGGCGATCTATTTAAGGACAGATGAAACAAACAAACTTTTGCCCACAAAATTGAAAATAGCAACTTTAGTCATGTTTTAATGAGTAAAATGAATAGGTTTCTCTGCGTAGTGTTTAAATTTTTAATCATTGGTCAAATTTTGACTAACATTAGATTTGAAGTGATATATATTTTTATCGATAAATAAAGATGGTTTTCAGACTGGTATAATTGTTTATGTCATAGAAGGTTTATAATTTCTTTATATTCTAGAAATTTATTTTTTCTATCATATTCAATGAAAGTAGGCCAAAAAATATACATCAATCCGGGCATCCATTTTTTGTTTGTATCATCTGTCTTTAGTGCTACAATTAATTTAATACTATTCAATTATTGCTGTTTTTTTTAGGTCAATACACTGCCATCTTCGAAGTACAATTTTCACCTCGCCCTTCGGGCTCAGTGAATATTGTACTCCTCAGATGGCTAAATCATTGTTAATAACAATCATTGTTTTATTATATGATTCGCTGATAAAACGATACAGCTCGTTATTTGATTGTATTAAATAAAAGTCCTAGCCAAATACAAGATACAAGCAGAATTAGAACGTAAATAAACCCTACCATTCCTATCAATTTGAAGTTTTTTAAATCAATTTTAGTTGCCATGAAAAAAAAAAATATGTCAGTCTTTTTTATGGGATAAATTTTAAAAGGAAGGAGTATTATCAGGGAAAACTGACCGCCTAAAAGTAAAAATTGTTGTTTAATAAAAGTTTTGGAGGGGTTTCCTGCATCCCCATTTACCACACTCACCCGTGACAGATAATTTTGTTGTGGCGTCTAAACAATAAAATACATATATGACTGAATGAAATCGATTAATTCCTCACTAAATTCCTATCTTTATATTTAACCTATCAAATCTTTCTCTATTTTGTTTTTATGTTAAATGCATTCATAATTTTTTATGCGCCAGGATCAAAAGAGAGAGGCGTATATTGTTTTTTTACTGTCGATCTGATTGTCTGTTTGTTTGTGATGCAGACTTCATATTTGGTAAGCATACTCCACTGATTACGTTCTTTCAAATGACCCTAATGTCAATGACCTTGCGACCTTGACTGTGACCTACATGCTAAAAATTGATTTTTCAAACTTTCGCCATAACTTTTGAATCATAGGAGATAGAGACTTCATATTTGGTGTGCCTACTCCATTAAGTTCTTTCAAATGTCACAAAAGTCAATGACCTTGTGATCTCGACTGTGACCTAAATGATAAAGATAGTTTTTATTAACTTTTTACCGACAGGCGCATAGTGTTTCACGTAGACAGTTATTTCGCAAATTAATATCAAGGCTGTTTGTGTTTCACGGGGGTATTTGTTAAATTGTTTAATTTAAAATAAGTATATTTATATTTTATTCATATCTAAGAATAATTTGAAATATGGTGACGCTTTGAACCCCGATTTGAAAGTCAAACATCATCTACCCTCCTTACACAAAGAACTGGAATTGTAATACTTTTAAAGCTATTCAACGCTGGTATTAGATTTTTAAATCAATTACCATTGTACTGTTCTTTGCACTCAACAAAATGTCGATAGCCGAAGTACCGTTATAGCGTGCCTCTTTTCTTTTAGATATCATGTATTAATGAAGTTAACCATAATGATTTTACAATTTGATTGTGGCAATTTTCTTTGTTAATACAATTTTTTAGCTTTAAGCTATTTTACCATATAGGTCACAGTCAAGGTCACAGGGTCATTAACCTTAGGGTTAATTAGTGGAGTATGCTTATCAAATATATGAAGTCTGTATCTCTCAAGGTTCAAATTTTAGGACAAAGGTTAAAGTTGACAACAGACAAACAGTAAAACAGATAAACAGAGAGACTGGACGAAACAATATACGCCCTAAATATATCGATCCAGGCGCATAAAATTAAGTTATTTTTACAAAAGAAATGTATTATCTCTATTTTGTATACCAAAATAAGTGATGTTTTAGTGAAAAGTAATCTAAATATCTATATAAATATAAAGAATCATATCCGAATATGTTAACATTTGATAATTGACTTGGAGGTAGGCGGGAGAACAAAATTATCGTTCGCATGTCTCAGTCAACTGTTCCTTTCAAATACTTTAAACTTTTTTCCCTCCACCATTCTTTATTTTTTAAGACATGCAAACACTTGTGAACACATGCAATTTGAAGTTATTTATAAAGTTATTTACATTTTTGGCATATTTTTTATGATATATATAAATCACAATCGTGGGAAACAACCTCATACTTAAAGGCAATGTAACAATATAATTTAATAAAAGTGTTCTAAAATTAATGTAATATTAAAATAAACCAGATTTTTAATTTTTCTGTAAATTTGTTATTCCAAGATTTTCATAAGCAATTTGGTTTTCTACTTTTAATTCCTCGTATTGGACTCTGTTTTCAGAATTGTTTAAATCCTCGTAAAATTCTTTTTGAAACTCAGTTTGTACATTCGCAATTGTGGACCTCATATTTTTCTCGCTTCCCTTTCTTTGGATTCGGTGTCTTTTCTTTCTTTGAAAGAAATTATGGAGTTTCCTCCTTAAAAAAAAAAAATAAAAAATAAAAACAAGATATAGAATTTAACATTCTAAGTAACGTTTTGATTTTAAGAAATTATATTGATAGAGAAGATTGTTTTTCAAATAAAACTTTCAAAAATAATAAAATGAAGATAACCACTCTTACCTGTTAAATGAAACAAAGACGGCAAAACATAATAAAAGTAAAACGTTAAGAGCTGCTGAAACTGAAAATCCTATTTTCCATTGATTTGATGACGCTTTATCTACAAAAGAAAAATATCATAAACATGATAACAGTAAATCTTATTTTTTTTTTTATATTTGATATTTTACATATCGCTAACAAAAAGATATAGCACAAAGATATCAGTATATTTATGTATATTAATAAAGGAGATTATGTATATTAATAAAGAGATTAAATAAAAGAAATATTTCATCCAGCTAATTCATTTATCAAACGGTACAACCTATAAACTTTAAAAAGATAGATGGTTACATACTCTTTTTAAGGTGGCTCATTACATTCACAGTTTATTTTATATTTCATACAGCACCACTTATAATGTAGATGTCAAATATCCAGAACGAGGTATTGATATCATAAATACTTTATAGAGAATTTTTTAGCTTTTGTCTAATTTTAGTGAAATGTTTTATTTCAAGTTTATTATTACGAGAATTTGATAACTTTCAGTGTCAAATGATGGGCATCTTCTTAAAACAAGTACACACAGTGAAAATACCTCATAATACCTAATATTAATTATTAGAAAAAATAATTATCTCCCAAAAAACAATTTATGTCATTATCTTTTAATCTGTGCACAAAACATTAAGAAAATGAGTTCTGAAGAGACAAGGCGTGTGTTTCAATGAATTACATGTGACAAATTGAATGAAAAATGTTTAAACGAAATGAAAATTCCAATTCAAAAAATATTTGGTATAAGAAGTCCGCTTTCAAGAGTTATCTTTCCTAATTAGCCAAGACTCAAAACACTAAGGAACGTTTGAATATTACATCTAAAATTCAGAACAAAGCTTAAAATTCCCAGAGTATATATTTAAATCAATAAAGCAAATATTTAAATTAACACCAATACAGTAAATAGTGCGAGTAAATAACTTTTAAAATTTCAATAAGGTTGTAGATTTAAACTCGAATTCCCTCCATACAAACATGTCATTGACAGAGCTCACTATGAAACTGCACAATGCTAGTACTTGTTTGGCGAAGATTTGGCTGTTGTTTTCTTTTGTTTCTGCTTAAAAGCAATCCTTGTTGGACTATGCATTATGATAATGAATCCGTTACTTTGTTTTCACTTTTTATAACAACGCATGTTTCATCTTTTTTTAAAGCATTTTAAAAGGTCAGGGTCATATATTATAGAGGTACCTGTACAATTCGTCCCCAGAGGAAAACGGTCGAAACAATGGAGGTTTATTTTTTTGTGTAGTACGTCATCAAAAAGTGGTGTAATGAGCCTCCTTAACAAATTTTTTTGCAGTTCATGTAACAGATTGTTCACATTGACTGAAATTTCTTAGTCTTCTTTATAGGATCTGATTTTCTAATTTGGATACTGCATAAGGGCACATGGTCCATGGATTTTTTTTCTTGAACGAAATATCAATTTTGATTTAATAAAAAATATGGGTATTAATATTTCACTTATGCTAATTTGGATCAGGATACGCTTACCGACCTTCAATGCAGGTTCCATGAGCATGGTGACATGTTTGACTGCACATTAATGGACAAAGATCAGTACAGTTTTCACCATAATATCCTTCCTGACAAACTAATAAAAGCACACTTTGAGCAGCAATATTAGATCTAGTATGTAAATGTACCGGGTAATTATATTTTTCAACCTCGCACAATTTTTAAGACAGTGGTCACAAATTGAATGTAAATGAAAGGTGGAAATTTCAATTCTGGTTCTTACAGTACAGACACCTCATCCCAGTGTAACCTTTTGAACATCCTTCTGTACAAACTCCATCTACGTTGCTGCAAATTCCATTGACGCAGTTCTTACTACAACGATTACTGCAATTTTGACCAAATAATCCAACTGGACATGCTGTTAAAAGATGCATCCATGTTAACTAACCAAATGTAAAATAAAATTGAAATATTTATCGAACCATAAAAACTCATTGACTGAAAATTTTAAACTATGTTTCAAGCCAACACGTAGAGCGCTGTACTTCAAACAACTCTCTTCACTAATCAGTGCCCATTTAATTGGCTGAAGGTGTAGTATCATCCTTTTAAAATCTAACCTTCGTTACAGATATTTCCAGAATATCCCAAGTCACATCCCATTTCACAAAATCCATTCTCCTTATTGCAAATGGTGTTGTTGAGACAGTGGTTACTGCAGTTAAAAACACAACCAGGACCATAGGTTTTGTTTTCACACTCTACAACGAATCATTTGAAAACAGTACTTTTCCATTATTCTTTTTTTTTATTTTTCATTTTTTTTAAAAAGAACAAATTAAAAAATCTTTAAAGAAATTTATTCTTTTAAAATTTTAAAAATAATTTTGAAAGCAGTGTTATAAAACCTTTATGAATGCTTTTGGTTTTAGAAAAATACACCTGTTGACATATAAAAAAAAACAAAGAATTATCAAGATTAAAAGTCAAGGGGAAAAAATAGATGTAATGTGAGCTGATCTTTTGAAACCCCTCATTCCATTTCAAATTAATCGTTCTGCTCTGGAAGACGCGAAATGAGTTTTTCATCGAAAAGTGAAATAAGAGAAGCACTTTTAATTAACATAACTGTAGATTCCTAAATATACGCGAGGGATTGATTATCGCATAATTTCGAGAGAAGAACCACTAGCGAAATAAAATTACTCGATTTTATTTTTATGGAGCTCATGCCAATGTAAAATCTCTTGATCAATCATTCATTTCCGAAAAATTGTTCTCGCTTTTTAAAGTTTCGGAGCCAGTTCGCGATAATAAGTACTCACGAAAAAAAAGGAATCTACAGTATGAAATAAAGAGCCTATGAAAGTATCATTAAATTTTATACAGTGAAGTTATGAGTAGGAGTTGCGGGAAAAATGGGTACCCTTCAATATTACAGAAAGAATGGCCGTGTCCATGATTTGCTATGGAAAACCCAAGAATATATATCAAGAAGTAAAACAGGGGGAGCACAATGGAACTTTGTAACAAGGATTCTGCAAGTCTTATTATATTACTATACCTGGTCTCCAATAATCATAGTTTGTTATTTTCAATTGTAAATTCTATTGCAAGTTTTTCTGTTCTTTATTTACATTAGTATAAGAGGAGTGGCAGATAAAAGATGGGTTAACATATTGTAACTGAAAGACGGACGTACAGGCAGATGGACAAACACTCCGATCACTATTTACTCCCCCTCCCTCATGTTTCAAGCATGGATACAAAAAAATCATACAAAACCTGACAGAGAAGGATTTCCAGGTGATGATGTATATATTAGTTCGTTATAAGTTCAGTACATGTACATGTAATATGATTAGACAAACGGAGAAATTCGTACTCACTTCAGATTGAAAATATTATAATGAACTTAATATTTTGAGAAGTATGGAACGCCGTCACTGCCTTATAACAGAACACAACAGTTGTATTGCGTCAACCTTCCATTACATTATGTCAACTCTTTATGACATTTACTCACACTACTATTGCATTGTGTCAACCTTACATTACATTATGTCAACTCTTTATGACATTAACCCACAATGCTGTTACATTATGTCAACCTTCCATTACATTATGTCAACTCTTTATGACATTAACCCACAATGCTATTGCATTATGTCAACCTTCCATTACATTATGTCAACTCTTTATGACATTTACCCACAATGCTATTGCATTATGTCAACCTTCCATTACATTATGTTAACTCTTTATGACATTAACCCACAATGCTATTGCATTATGTCAACCTTCCATTATATTATGTCAACTCTTTATGACATTAGTCCACACTACTATTGCATTGTGTCATCCTTTCATTACATTATGTCAACTCTTTATGACAATTACACACACTACTATTGCGTTATGTCAACTTTCAATTACATTATGTTTAGTCTTTATGGCATTAACTCGCACTTTAATTACATTGCGCCAATCTTCCACTGCATTATATCAGCTCTTTATGACATCAAGTCAAAACAATTTTACGTGGTGTAAAAATGTTTTTATATATTTTCAACTCATTATTACATTATGTGCACTCTCTACTATTTGGTCTAAGTAGTTCATTACATGATGTGAATTTATCTTTAACTCAATATGAAGTCGCTATAATACGATGTTAGAATTTCATTACATGATCTGAAAAAAATGTCACATGTGGTCAATTCTTTTACTACTTTATGCCTTCAATATGCTACACGACGACGTGAATCAATTTCATGATGTGAATTTGCCCTTACTTTTTGACAAATCGTTATTACATTATGTCATTGTGTCTTTACAATGTGTCAAAAATGCTAAGCCTCTTGTCAACATACATGTATCTTAGTCTATTTCATTTCATATCAGATGTGAAAAGCTCATGTCATACTGTGCGCACTCTTCTACATTATGTCAATTCACTATTACGTTATGCGAACACGGGTATCCTCGGCCTTTATATGAGCATAACGTATTTTCCACATTCCGAAAGCACTAAAAATGGCGGGAGAGAAAACTGTCATAAAATAAATTCTCAGCGATTAAATGATATAAAAACTTTAAGCGAAAAATGATTAACAATCTTGAAATGTGCAAACCTTAACACTGCGACTGTGAATTAAAGTCACGGGTCGAAATTCAATGGCGTTTACTTTTATCTGATAATTAAATAAATCAAATATGAGTCGTGCAGCATTTTTTTCTTTTGAATTGCTTTTTTTTTAATAAAAATCTTAAACTTCGGATCTTACTCAGAACACTGTCATAAGTTTTTTTTTATCAGTCTTTAACTCTCCTTTTTTAAAGTGTAAACACATCGATCGAATAACACACGTGCACTGGCGGCTTGGGGAAGGGGGGGGGGGGGTCAGAAATCCCGCCCTACCATCTTTAGTCACCAAAATATACATAAAATTAATAAATTTATTAGTTTTACATTGTAGGACATTGCATTACTTTCACATTAAGTTTAGCTGAATTATCTTGAAAAATTTTTTCTATTAAACTATAAAGCCTGCCGGAGAGTTTTTCTGCTTTCCCCCTTTGGTCACCAACTCTATACCGTCCCCCTTCTTTTTTCAAGATACCCATATGCGCCACAAATATGTGCCCATGCATGCTTATTAAGGCATATTCAGCTGATTTAGATGAGGGACTGGTAAATTTTTATAACAGAATTCTGGTCTTGGAATGGTTGAAAAAATTACAGTAACTAATTCCGTGACATAGCATTTATTTGAAAGAGGATGTCAGCCAGGAAAAAAAAAATTATTTACCCGAAAAAACTTGACAAGCCAAAAAAATTTGTCCAAGCCCGAAAATCCTATTTCGGAGTGGGGGGTCCGACTTTGATTAGTCATATATTTTTTTCAGTTATACTACATTACCCCTAGTGGACTATACTTCAACAATAAGTGGGGGTGGGGGCTGTACTTTCAATGAACATTACATTTTCTAAAATAAGGTTATGTCTAGGAAAAGAGGGGGGCTGATATTATGTGTCTATAATTATTCGTCCTACTCAACCCCCCCCCCTCTTACCAGTCATTAAAATACAGTTGTCAACATTCATTATTATACTAGATATACAGCTTTCAGATAATGTAAATGTATTTTCACATCAGGTAATGAACTTTTGGAATCAACATGATGAAGAGTTAACACAATATAAAGATATTTTTTAAATCACATAAGAGTTGACATAACGTAATTATATATCCACATCACGGAATTGAGTTTTGACATAATGTAATAAAGTGTTGATATAATATAAAGATATGTTCACATTATGTTATACACTTTTTACACCACGTAATAAAGCACTGACATAAAGGTAAGATGTGTTCTCCTCACATCATGATGCTCTCGCCGTGATATAAAGATAAATCCATATCACGTAATAATGCTTTGACATAATAGACATATACACTCTCAAAAAGGAATGGACTCTTGACTTCATGTAATGATAAGTTTAATTATAAAACACAATTTACTTGACGTGATGCAATTTTGACCTCACATATTAAAGAAATGAAATAATATAAAGAAACATTCATTTCACGTAATAAAGTTTTAACACAATGTAAACATATTTTCACTTCACATAATGAACTTCCGACTTCAAGTTATAAAGTGCTGACATAATGGAAGAATGTGTTTACTTCATGTAATGCAGCATTGACATGATGTAAAGATATTTTTACATCACCCCATAAAAAATTGACATAACGTAAAGATATCTTCACATCACGTTATGATAGATTGACATAATGAATGCATAGTTTTATGCTATAAGGCAGTGATGGCTTCCATAGAGAAGTTTAGAATTTTTTTTTTATTAGTCGTTTGAATTTTATCGTTGATTTAAGGGATTTTTCAATGATCCACTAATATGTATTATTTGTGCAAAATTCGTTACTACATGTAGTTCAGATAACTATTCAAGTGTTTTTATCCGTGCTTCAAAATACTGTAAAACGAGAAAATTTGGCGCATACGTATTTTAGCGCAAACGCAAGTGGGAATGCATTGGCGCAAATAAATTTTAGCGCTTGCACTTTTCATTAAAATATATAGATGTGATATTTGTTTTTTTTTTTTAATCCACAACCGTATTTGACTTTTTGGTAAGTCAAGCACGGAAACACATTAGTACTCCTGTATATCAGTAAACATTTCGTTAACTTTACCGCGGTACGTGTTGCTATCACATGGACGTGGTACGATATTAATTTCTATTTTCAATTAAAAGAAATGAAGTATTGACTCATTTAAATCATACTAAAACAATGCATGCTTCGACAGAAAATTACTCATATAAAACGGTAATCCTAATTAGGTATTGTCTGAAAGCTCAATCGGCATGCTTGAATGCATTGTTTATCTCGGGATGATAGATGATTGACACGCTGAGAAGCTAAACTTAAAGGTGCTAATGATAATAATCAGGTAACAACTACCAGGGTAACAATAGTTTAATTAAATTATAATTTGGCAGAACTATATGGTGATATAGATATTTTAAAAATAATTATTATAAGAGTTGAAAAGGTTCTGCATATTAAAACTGACTTAAACAGATAATTAGATATACCTGTTCAGCTTTATTTTGCTACCCAATGTACCTTGATTAACTATTCACAAGCATACTGTTTTCTGAAATGTACTGTTTTCTGTCGTCCAACTGTTTGTCTGCAAACTTTTCACATTCTTAACTTCTTGAGAA